GGCCGGGTGGGCGCGGCAGCTCGCTCGGGTACTCCGGGAGGCCGCGCCAAGCCCGGGCCGACAGCGGAGCTCCGGGCGCGGCTACTACGGTCCCGGCTCAGCCGGCGAGGACATGGCGAGCAAACCCGGCTCGGTGCTTACCATGGTGAGGCCGCAGGTGGGGCGCGCCGCGCTCTGGCTCTGCAGGGGCTCAGGCTGCCGCCCAGAGAAGCGGAGCTCTGGCCGCTCCGGACCTGCTGCCCCTGACAGGAGGCTCCGCCGCTTCGCCTCTTGCCAAGATGGCGGCCCCAAGCCACGTCTCCAACCGGAAACGGCGCGGGTCAAAGGGCGGGGGGCGGGGCCGACAGGCAGCTTCTGGGTCCCAGTAAACCCAGTCCTCCGTTAGCCCAGGATTTGCAGAGTTTGGGTAGAATTGTGAAGCGTCATCCCTCTGTCCTTTCTTTCTCTTCTTTCTTTCTCTTCGCCTGCGTTTATTTGGTGCTTCTTCTTAAAGTTCATAAAACCACTCAATGGAATATATAAAATAATCTGTGAGCGTGAGGAACTAGTATTCAGAATACATAACGTCTAGAATTCCGTAATAAAGCTGGCACAGTGTCCCCTCACCTGTAATTCCAGGTAAGTAAGAGGCTGAGGAGGAAGATCAAGAACTGTCCAGCCAGCTCGGCATACACTTTTAATCCCAGCACTCGGGAGCCAGAGGCAGGTCGATCTCTAAATTTGAAGCCAGCCTAGTCTACAGAGCGAGTCCGGGAGAGCCAGAGCTACACAGAGAAACTCTGTCTTGAAAAGCAAAGCAATAATTCTAAAAAATTTTAAAGAGAAGAGGAATAAAATACTGACACATACGACAACATGGGTTAACCTTGAAAACGGGTGAAAAAAGCGAGATGCAAAGGCCAGGGTCTTTATACAATGTCCAAACCAGGGATGTCTGTGAAAAGAGAAAGCATATACGTGATTTATTGGAGATCCAGAAGACTAGAAAGTGACTACTAGTGCATGAGAAGCTTGTGTTTGGAGTGTGTCATGGAATTACCCAGAAATAAATGTCCTGCAAGCCACTGAACTGTATGCTTTATCTTAATTATATAATTATATTATTTTTAAATCCTGTGTGTGTTCAGGTATGTGCCTATGAATGCAGGCACTGCCTGAGATGGGTGCTGGGAATCAAACTGGACTCCTCTGAAAAAGCAACAGATACTCTTAACTACTGAGTCACCTCTCCAGTACTGAACTGTATACTTCAAAAGGGTGGGGGTTTCTTTTTTTTAGGGTCCTGAGAGATGGCTCAGCAGTTAAAATCCTATATTGCCCTTGCAGAACACCAATCGTGCAGATTTGGTTTTCCCCTGCCTCAAAAAAGGAAGAAAAGAAGATGTATGTTCACAAGTATCCGTGATAAGGAGAGACTTAGAGGCCATATAACATAAGTTAAAACAAACCAGGAATCAAGGTGACCTGTGCTTAAGTCCTTTTCAGTACTTAAGGCCTGAGTCATTAGTTAAGTCACTACACGTCTCTAAACCTGAGTTATTTCTCTTTAAACTGGTGGTAACACATACTTCATAAATTTATGAAGTTAGATAATATAAAATAAATTAGACTATATAAGCTAAGTGTTCCACCACAGTACTTGCTCAACAGTGTATACTTCTTATTATGGACATAGCATCACAGGAATAAAAACAAATAGCAATTCCACTAAAAACATATTTTTGAGACAGTTTTACTTCATATACCTGGCTGACCTAGAACTCCCTATGTAGATGAGGCTGGCCTTGAACTCACAGAGACCTGCCTGCCTTTGCATCCTTAGTGTTAAGATCAGAGGCAATTCCATGTATAACTTTAAGCAGCAAAAGAGCTGTGTGCTAGTTAGTAGCCCCAAAATGGGATCAACCTGTGTCCACCAACTGATGAGTGGATAAAGAAAATACAACATACATCCACTGAGGTGAGTCAAAACAAAAGCCAGCTATGGTGACACATACTTTTGATCTCAACACTTGAGAGGTAGAGGCAGGAGACTCAAAATTTCAAAGTCTGGACCGGAGAGAGACTCAAGAGTTCACAAGGATTTTCTGCTATTCCAGAGAACTGGTATTCAGTTTCTAGCACCTTCATGGCAGCTCACACCATCTTTAATTCCAGTTCCAAGGACTCTGACACCCTCTTCTTGACTCTGAGGGTACCAGACTTGTAGATGGTATATAAACATACATGCAGGTAAAACACCCATACATAGAAAAGTAAATAAATATTTTTAAAGATTTATTTATTTTATGTATGTAAGTACACTATCACTGTCTTCAGACACACAAGAAGAGAGCATTAGATCCCATTACAGATGGTTGTGAGCCACCATGTGGTTGCTGGGAACTGAACTCAGGACCTCTGGAAGAGCAGTCAGTGCTCCTAACCACTGAGCCATCTCTCCAGCCCCAATATATTTTTTTAAGAGTTAGAAAAACACTCACTAACAGAAAATAAAAGTAAAAATTTAAAAAATAAAGAAGAAAGAACGGGCTGTAGAAACAGCTCAGTATTGACTGCTCTTCCAGAGAACCCTGGTTCAATGTCCAACACCTCCATGGCAGTGCTCGACTGTAACTCCTGTTTCAGGGAATCTGGCACCCTCATGTAGACATACATGCAAGCAGAACACCAATGTACATAAATTAAAAATAAAATTATGAAAAGGAAGAAGTACGGTCTGGTGTCTTGTTGCATAGAAAAGTTGACTATTAAAAATATAATATAGTTTAGTATATATTTATTTTTTCAAAAAAATGTAGAAGGGAGAACCCTGATTTTTTTCCCCCACAAAGTAATGAGAATTGATGGCGGCACATGTGTGGTGCTTGAGAGGCAAAAGCAGGGTGCTATGAGTTTGAGGCTCAGTCCACAGAGTGAGATGTAGGCCAGCCAGAGGTGCATCATGAGCCCTTGTGTCAAGCAATAAAAAAAAACACACAAAAAAAAGTTGAGGGGCTGGAGAGATGGCTCAGCCAGTTAAAAACACTGTCCGTTCTTCCAGAGGTCCTGAGTTCAATTCCCAGCAACCATATGGTTGCTGGAAACCATCTATAAGGGGATCTGATGCCCTCTTCTGGCCTGTAGGAATACATGCAGCAGAGCACTCATTCATTAAGTTAAAAAAAAAAAAGGTTGAGGATCTAGAAATGCTAGGATTTGAAATGCTTTGTAATGTACACATGTATAGAAACAACGGAAAATGCCCCATAGATCTGTGCAATTTTTAGGTATCGATTTTCTTTTTAAAAGTTATGTCTTAGTCTCTCATTTTTGTTTTTTCCGAGTTGGGATTGCAGGTCTGAACACAGTTTTCTTTCTTTCTTTTTTTCTTGTGGGGGTGGAGGGTTTGGGTTCCAAACAGGGTTCCTCTGTGTATAACCATGGATTTCCTGGAACTCAACTTGTAGATGAGATTGGCCTAGAACTCAGAGATCCATCTGCCTCTCCCTCCTCAGTGCTGGGACGGAAGCTGTACGCCACCTTGCCTGACTGCACTGTGTTTCATTTTAAGGCAGCTTTTGTCGTGAATTTCTATGATTCTCGCACATTTCTCTAACCTTGATTTCCAAAATTAATTACACCTATAGTTTTAGTTATTCATTACATTTTCTTTAATCACTTATTCCTTGATCTGTCCAGCGAGCATTCCTTTTTTCGTTTTATTTTATGTATATGAGTACACTGCAGCTGTCTTCAGACACACCAGAAGAATACGTTGGATCCCATTATAGATGGTTGTGAGCCACCATGTGGTTGCTGGGAGTTGAACTCAGGACCTCTGGAAGAGCAGTCAGTGGTCTTAACTGCTGAGCCATCTCTCCAGCCCCATGAATTCTGTATTTCATCAGTATTCAACCCAGGGCCCTCTGCATGCTACGTAAGTGCTCTACCACAGAGGTAACCCTTACCAGTGAGAGCTTCTTGTTATCGCTTTATTATTTTAAAAACTTTTTTTATGTGTATGAGTGTTTGTCCTGCATGTATGCATGTGTCTGTACCTTTGGAGGCCAGAAGAAGGCATTAGATCTCCCTGGGTCTAGAGTTACAGGGGGTCATGAGCTGTCATGTGTGTGCTGGGACTAGAACCTGGGTCCTCTAGAAGAGCAGCCAGTGCTTTTAACCATTGAGCCATCACAAAATTTGATTAAAAAAATAAAAGTAAAAACACTTTATTTCATGAAAGAAAGCACACAGACCTGCACACCATGCCTGGCTTCCAGTGAGGATTTTCAAAGTACTATTTATGCAATCTACTGGTACTAGGAAGAATTTTAACAGATTCCGTAAAGTTGCCTGCTGACACACACACACACACACACACACACACACACACACACACACAGAGCGTATGCACTTTCCTACATGAAATAATGTGTTTTTATTTTTTTAATCAGTTTTTGTTGTTTTGAAACTGGACCGCAATAGCCCAGGCTGGCCTCAAACTTACCAAGTTACTGACTGAGGCTGATCTAGAACTTCTAATCCTCCTGCTTCCACTTCCAAAGCACTAAGATTGCAGTTATGCAACAACTTACCCGGCTCCTAGTTTTCTTTAGCAAGTAAAAACACAGGACACAGTTAAATCCTAATGTCAGATGAACGAAGAAAAAGTATGCTCATGTGACATAGGACACTATGAGGAAAAGGGCTATCCTGCCATAGAGATATAGAGATGAGATATAAAAAGGCTTTTAAACGTGCTAGGACTTCCCCCCAACCCCCCAGGTGTCTATCTAGGACAAACTGTGGGCCAAATGAGCCTTGTCTTCGAGATGACAGTTTCCAGTTGGAGAAAAGAAATCCACTAGCCTGGCCTCCCACCTTTGGCCACTAGATGTCACAACCGACTCAGCTGCGGAAACCATAGACAAGTAGGCGGCTTGGCCGCCTAGTGTGCCGGGCCGCTCTATCCCAGCGTCGCGTCTCTGCTTCCGCCACCACTGGGCCAAGCTGGGACTGTGTGTGTGGGGAGGGGGGGAGCTGGGTGGCGGCGCCGCTCGTCTCGCGATCATTCCTTCTGGCTCTCGCTTTGCTTTGTTTTATTTATTTACTTATCTTTTTGCCTAACGACTGACCACAGGCGGCTTGTTGCACTTAGGGATCCTTGAAGTGGCCGGGCCTGAGAGTGAGACCCCAGTCCTAGGCTGGGGTTCTTTCCAAATAGAGGAAACGGATCCAGAGGGGCTACAGGTAATTGGTGCTCCCGCAAGCGCACTCCCGACCGCCGTTCTTCGCTCTCCGCGCCCCACCAACTGCCCTGGTTCCTTGATTCTCCGAGAACCCAGTGGGATCCTATCTTCAAGACGGGTGGAAGTAGAGGTGATGTTTGGGGGATTAGTGGATGGGGCCGAGACTGGAAGTTGCCTTCTCTTAGGAACATCCTTCCCCTTTTCGGGTCAGAGGTGACCCACAGGCTGAACTCTGGCTAGACTCTAGAACTTCAGTAGCCCGGTCCCATCCCTGTACCCTCCACCCCCTGACAGAAGCCTCAACAGCTCTGCGAAAACTGACCAAACCTGGGCCGGCGGCGGCCTATGCGTGCTGTGCTTCCCTCGACTGCATCTTGTGTGTAGCTTTTGGTTTGCTGCTGGAAAAGGTTGGATACCGTTTTCCTCCGCAGTTGTCTCGGCACTCAGCCAGTGTTGGCTAAATAAGAGTTGAAGTTGATGTTCCGCTTGCTCTTGGGTCAGGAAACTTTGGGGAAAGCTTGGGTGGGGGTGAATGCGTCTCTGGATGTATAGCCCATGGTAGGAGTTATGTAATCATATCTACTTTTGCTTAGACCAAAATTGTTGAGAACCAGACATATGATGAGCGTCTAGAGATTATCGACCCGGAAGAGGTTGCCAGCATTAGCACTCCAACCCCGGGACGTCAAGGTAAGAGAAGATGAGAGACAAAAAGAGAGGTAGTTTTCCAAAACAGTGGCGCAGATAGGATTCGGATCGCATTCAGCGAGCTCTTAGATTATATCAGCAAGTGTTCACTTCCTGCGTTAACTTGCCGCTAATTTTGTTTTCTCACTAGTTGAGAGAGAAATCAGTTCATCAGATTTTGGCATCTTCTTTGAGTGCAAACTTATCCCCTATCACTGCAAACTTCGTTACTGCTCTGTATAGTTTCTGGCAAAACGCAGGTTTACTGTGTGTTTTTTTTAAATATTATTTATTTATTATTATTTATATGAGTACACTGTAGCTGTCTTCAGACACACCAGAAGAGGGCATCGGATCCCATTACAGATGGTTGTGAGCCACCATGTGGTTGCTGGGAGTTGAACTCAGGACCTCTGGAGGAGCAGTCAGTGCTCTTAACCGCTGAGCCATCTCTCCACCCCCCACCTAACATTTTTGAATGCTTGCTGTGTGCCATGCTAACGCTGGGTAATACAATGACAAACAAAAGACACATCCCTGCCGTCCTGACACTTGTAAGATGGCCAGTGAATAAACCAGTCATTACGACAAATGTCATGTGTGCAGCAATGGAGGCAAGTTGTTTATTGCTATGAGACATAGTGGAGGTGGTGGGGATTGATTTGAGGCCAGGGAAGACTCAAAAGACCAGGGCTTAGTGAGAGGAGAGTGTGTTATGTCTGATCAGACGGGAGGGGAGAGACATGTCAAGCAGAATGCAGAACTCCAAAGGCTGTTGCTGTCACATGTAGAATTTACTGGAGAGTACACAGGTGAAAAAGGGGGAGGTGAGTGGAAGTGCTGTGGCAGTGGCTGGTTTGGACTGTGGCATGAATAGAGACATGGCACAGAGACAACATTAGATTACAGAATCATTAAGTCTTGCTCATGCGTCAGGATTTCAGTCCTGAGTTGGGGATCACACTCCTTTTTGTTACTGTGGTCAAATATACATGGTATTAGAATACTATTTTAGCCACTTCAAGTGTAAAGTTTAATGGCTCTGAGTTCATGTACATTTCGTGGTAACTGTCACCACTTTCTTAGTTATTTTTCTATTGCTGTGATAAGACACCGTGGCCAAAGCAACTTATAGAAGAAAGTTTATTTGGAGGTTACAGTTTCAGGTGATTAGAGTCCATGATGGCTGAGAAAAATCGTGGCAGCAGGAACAGCTTAGAGCTTATGTCTTTAGACACAAGCATGAGACAGAGAGAGCTACATGGGGGAATGACCTGGGCTTGTGAACCCTCAGAGCCCATCTCCAGTGACACACCTCCTCCAACAAGACCTCACTGCCTAATCTTTCCCAAACAGCTCTACCAACTGCTGACCAAACATTCAAACATGTGAGCCTCTGGGAGCTGTTCTCATTCAAAACACCACTAGAACGTCCTCGTTAAACAGTAGCTACTGCGAGGCATGGTGGTACATGACTTTAATCCCAGCACTTGGGAGGCAGAGGCAGGTGGATCTCTATAAGTTTGAGGCCAGCCTGGTCTACAGAGTGAGTTCCAGGCCAGCCAGGGCTACATAGTGAGACCCTGCCTCAGAAACAAACAAACAAACAAACAAACAAACAAGAGATTTCTTGATTCCTTTCTTCCTCCCAGTCCCTGCTAACCACAACTTTGCTCCTGTGAATTTGCCTATTAGTGGCACTTCCTGGGTGAAATAACGTCCTTTTGTGGCTGGCTCATGTCACCTACACATCATGTATCATATTTTTTTTCAATTTTATGGCTGAATAATAGTCTATTGTATGGATTGTATGTGTTTTTAAATGTCTCATTTCCTGACAGACACTGTGTTGTTTTTGCCTGTGGTAATTTTGAACAGTGCTGCTGTGTCTGGTGGTATACAAGTGTCTGTCTGATTCTCATTTTTAGTACTTTTTAATATATACTTTATTTTCCAAAATTACAGAGTGCCTCATGACTTTCCATGTCATCCTTGCACAGGCTGTGTTAGTCTCTGCGTTGTTCCAGATTTTAGTGTACATGCTGTGGAAGCCAGCATGTTGAGTAATACTGAGCCTCTAGCTTTGTTTTTTTACTCCAACATGTTAGGGTTTTATTTGTTTATTTGAAAATAGGGTTTTATTCTGTGGAGCCTGGACTAACCTGGAACTCACCGTGCAGCTCAGGCTAGCCTTGGATTTGAGGTACTCTTCTGGCCTCAGTTTCCTGAGTGCTGAAAGCTACCATGTCAGAAACGTAATAAATTTACACTCTTGTCAACTGTGGACTTGTTTTTAGATAGGTAATTTTTTTTTTTAAAGATTTACTTATTTTTATTTATGTGAGTACACTGCAGCTGTTTTCAGACACACGCCAGAAACGTGCATCGGATCCCATTACAGATGGTTGTGAGTCACCATATGGTTGCTGGGAATTGAACTCAGAACCTCTGGAAGAGCAGTCGGTGCACTTAACCACTGAGCCCCTCAGCTGGGTAATCTAATAAGTCAAAAATGTTTAGTTTGCACCTGCAGTTTTCATGCTGGCTGATCTTCCATCCAGTTATACTTTTGATTTCAGAATAAGTTCTTATTCCTACAGATTCTCTTCTTTCTCTTATGCCCTGATTCAAATTCATATTCACAGCTGGCTGTTTGCCAGGCCCTAAGTCCCTCCCTTCCAGGTAGGCTTTGTCACTCAGTCCTGTCACTGACCCCATTTATAGGAGGAAATACTGACCCTCAGAGAGGGTGAGTCACCTCCTGCGGGTGACAGAGTTGTCCTCAAGCCCAGCCACTGTCGCTTCTCACACAGGGCGCGTCACCCCTGCTCATCTCCAGCTCTGGTCATACAGTCGCAGCTGAGTCGGTTAGTGTAGCATCTAGTCCAGAGCTACTCGAAGGAGTGTTTATAGCAACGTCCTGCATAGACACAGCTGTGACTAGAATTCAGTATGCTCGCTTTCCCTTCGTGTTTTGTTTTGTTTTGTTTTATTTTATTTTGTTTTTGAGACAGGGTCTTACCATATAGCCCTAGTCTTGAGTTCACAGATCCCTCTGCCTCTGCCTCTGCCTCCCTAGTGCTAGGACTAAAACATGTTTGCTTTGTGTGTGTGTGTGTGTATGTGTGTGTGTGTGTGTGTGTGTGTGTGTGTGTGTGTCTGTTTCATAGCTCATGCATGTTAGGTGCAGGGCGGGGGGGAGGGAGGAGTCATCGGGTAGGGGATAAAAGATAACAGGAAGACCAAAATAATTACATAAATTAAATAAAAATTAAAAATGTAAACTTTTTTTAAAACAATAATTTAGACGTTAACTAATGAAAAGATTCTTCCTCAAAGGCCCTCCTTTTTCTGCTGCTCTTCCCAACAAGACGATGGCTGATAACAGCAGCGACGAGTACGAGGACGACAACAAGGTGCGTGTGCGCATGCGCGTGCGCTGTGCCCCTCCGCTTCCTTTGAGGATCGGGCTCTGGTGTGGTCAGTGCGAGATGGCGCTGAGTCCCCAGGAACACTCACCTCTAGTACTTGAGGACCTTGGAGCTCCTGTAGGAAAATCCTGGAGAGATTTTGAGATATTGTCTTGAGATAGTGTCTTCTTCAAGAATAAAGCCTGCTATTGTTATTTCCTGTCAGTTGCTATCAAAGCTAGAATTTCACTTTTACTGGTGAGCCCATCTCTGACACAGACTATCATTACAGTTGGCTTTTTAGTCTGAATTGTGTGTGTTTTAGACTTTATTGATTATAAGAATCAACTAGGATATTTGCTCTTAAAAAATAAGATTCCTGCCGGGCAGTGGTGGCGCACGCCTTTAGTCCCAACACTTGGGATGCACAGGCAGGTGGATTTCTGAGTTCGAGGCCAGCCTGGTCTACAGAGTGAGTTCCAGGACAGTCAGGGCTACACAGAGAAAACCCTGTCTCGAAAAACCTTTAAAAAAAAAAAAAGATTCCTTGGGTTAGAGATATGTCTCAGTGGCTAAGAACACTGATTGCTCTTCTGGAGGACCTGGGTTCAATTCCCAGTCCACAGATGGCAGCTCACACTGTAACTCCAGTTTCAGGGAATCTAGTGCTATCTCTGGCCTCTCTGGGCACCAGACACCAAGGCTGTGCACATATGCAGGCAAAAACACCCATACACATACAATAAAACAGTAAAACATCAAAATATAGATTCCTAGTTCCCTCCCAGGGTCTCAAAGGTCTTATAAGCAGTCTTGGAAATTCATATACTAAGAAAGTTTTTAGAATTATTAGCTCAGTTGTGGTTTTATTCCCAGCACTTGTGGTGATGCCAGTATTTTATGACACCAATGTCTTTTTTTTTTTTTTTTTGTATGTGTGTGTGGTTTTTCAAAACAGGATTTCTCTGTGCAATAGCCCTGGCTGTCCTGGAACTCACTTTGTGGACCAGGCTGGCCTCGAACTCACAGAGATCCACCTGCCTTTGCCTCCCAAGTGCTGGGATTAAAGGTATGCAACAGCACCGCCTGGCTTGACACCTAATATTTTTGTTTTTGAGATGGGTCTCTATAAAACTCTGGGTGTCCTGGAACTCACTATGTAGACTAGGCTGGTCTCAAACTTACTTAGAGAAATCTATTCCATCTGCCTCTGCCTCCTGAGTGTTAAGATTAAAGTCATGTACTACCATGCCAGTCTGACAGTATTCTTAAAAGTTGCCTTTTGCCAAAACTACCTGGGCTGACGAGATGGTTCTTCCATGCCCTCAGAAACAGATGCTGGGAATTGAACTCAGGACCTCTGGAAGAGCAGCCAGTGCTCTTAACCACTGAGCTATCACTCCAGCTCCTAAAAGCTACTTTTGAAAAGGAGGCCAGTTGACCAACTGTCATGTCCTAAGGGAGGGCATGCTACAGGCTGTGAGCACAGAGGCAAAGATACGGATCCTGTCTCAACTGTCTCTGCTAGTCAGATACCACCAGGCTCCTTCTCATGAACCTGAGAGGGTAAAATGGAGCATGACCAGCTAGAAACTCAAACTTAGGCTATAATGTCAAGAACAAAGAGGCCTCTTATTCTGAACTAGCATGCATAGTTATTTTGCTTAACTCACAGGGAAGGGGTCTGTGAACACTGTGAAGATACATCATGAAGGAGTTATCACAAAGCAAACATGTGAAGCTGCTATTCTCCTGAGCTGCTGCTGTGAATCCATGCTCAGGGTTAATTATGAACTTTATTCTGCTGATATTTTCAGCGCCTAACTCTGAGCATTCTTGCAAAATAGATGCCAGGTTTTTCTGTGGTCTTTGAGTACTATGACCCTGTAAAGTTTGTCTTTCCCACTTGATCTTTCCTGACTCCCCAAGTAATCTCAAGTTGTTATCCTTTTCCAATATTTATTTATTTAATATTTAAAATTATGTGTGTGTATCTTTGCACATGAGTGCATGGAGGCCAGATTCCCTTGAGCTGGAGTTTCACACAGGGAGGTTGTCAGCTGCCTAATGGGGGTTTTGGGAGCCAAATTCTAGTGTTCTGCAAGAGTAGTTTGTGCTCCTAGCCACTGAGCTATCTCTCCAGCCCTCTGTGATTTATTTTATGGGGGCATGTGGTTATGTGAATGTGAGTGCAGATGCCCTCAGAGTCTAGAAGGATCCCCTGGAACTGGAGTTCCAGGCAGTTGTGAGGCACCGGACATGGATGCCACGAGTGGATATTGGGTGCTCTTAACTGATGAGCCATTCCTCAGCCCCACCACCGTTTTCTACATTTTAGAGAGTGAGGCTTCTGGATAGAGTTTATGCATAGTTTCCAAGAACAAGTAATAGGTTCCTAAGCATAACTAGGGTAGGATTTGTACCATTTCTAGTAGGGGATTATGGTTGAAGACTGTGGAGGTCAACTTAGAAGGAGAAGGTTCTCAGGCCCCTAGGGACGGGGTTCCCTTTCTGGAGACTCGGTGGCAGAGTCTGTGGACATGGTGAGAGCAGTGCAGAGTCAGGCATGGGAACTGAACTGTTCTTCGTGTAACCACTTCCCCTTCCCTCCCTGTCCAGGAGAAGAAGAAGCCCTCCCAGCTGACACCCCAGCAGGGCTTCAGTGAGAACGATGACGACGACGACGATGACTCCTCTGAGACCGACTCTGATGACGACGATGACGACGAGGAGCACGGGGCACCTCTGGAAGGGTAGGGAGGACCCTGTGCCAGGGGCGTCCTTCAGGGTGGCGGTGGAAGGGGCATGGGTTGCAGCATCCTTTGATGCCCTCTACTTAGGGTTTTCCTCCTGTCTCAGGAACCCAGCACTGTGAGTTTTCATTTTATTCTGGCTCCACTCCCTCGTCTGCCTGTGATGTCACTTAAACCATGTGAGACGTTTGTGGACTCGGCAAACACGCTGGGTTAACCTCAAACCTGAAACATTGCTCCTGCCTTTCACGGAGCCCCCAGTTTGGGAGAGAAGAAGTGTTCTTGCACCTATGCCAAAGCATTTCTATCTAGTGGGGCAAACTGTGTGCACATAAGCATTTCCGGTTTAGGCTGAGGTCTTTCCTGGATAGGAGAGAAGATCTTGAGGGCCTTATATTGAGGCAGGGTTCTTGATGACACTAAGAAAACAACAACAACAACAACACCCCATCTTACTCTGTTGCAGCCCCATTGTCACAGTCATGATTCAGTCCTGTAGGTTATAATGAACATGTGTTCTAAAGACCATCCATTTACACTGGGGCTATAGCTCGGTGGTCGTGCATTTACCTGGATGTGTGAGGCCTCAGGTTGTATTTATGTACTTAGGATTGCACCCATGCACACAAACATACATATAAAAAAATAAATCTTTCGGGCTGGAGAGATGGCTCAGCGGTTAAGAGCACTGACTGCTCTTCCAGAGGTCCTGAGTTCAATTCCTGGCAACCACATGGTGGCTCACAACCATCTGTGATGGGATCTGATGCCCTCTTCTAGTGTGTCTGAAGACAGCTACAGTGTACTCATATAAATAAAATACATATTTTAAAAGAACTATAATAAATAAATCTTTTGAAAGTGTATAAAATATATTTAATGATGTTGGACCTGGGGACACAGATCTGTAATCCCAACACTCTGGAAGCTGAAGCCAGAGTATTACAAGCCTGTGGCCAGCTTGAGCTATAGAAGACCCTGTCTCAAAAAAAACCCAAGGATTGGGTCAGATGGCCTAGAGGGTAAAGGCACCTGCCTCTAAGCCTGAGTACTTGAGTTCATTCCTTGGGACCCATATGGCGGAAGGAGAGAACCAGTTCCCTCAAGTTGTCTCTGACCTGGGTACACATATCTCTTCTCTCATACACAGATCTTCCTCTTACCTCCATGTGCATGCACGCGCATGTGCACTTACACACACATGCACACATATCACGTTCATTCACCACATATGCACACATCCATACTCAAAGATTTCTAAAAGCTGTGTTGTGGGGCCTGGAGAGATGGCTCGGCAGTTAAGAGTACTGAGTGCTCTTACAGATCCCAATCCCAGGGGATCTGACACACTCTTTGGGTGTCCTTGGGTACAAGTGTAATGCAGAGTCATACTTGTAGGCAGAACACCCATACACATTAAAAAACAGTGCCTGAATTTCCTGCAGCTTATTCCTTTAGGGTAAGAGATAATTGACAGCTAACTATAATCAGTGTTGAAGCTGTCTTGTAGGCCATCAAGAACGTAGGATGTGGCAGGGGCAGAAGGTAGGCTTGGGGCCACATCCCTGTTCATCAGCTCACACATAGGCTGGCCAAGCCTGCTGCTGTGTTCCCGAGGGCCACTCTGATCGGCATGTCTCCTCCAGGGCCTACGATCCGGCCGACTACGAGCATCTGCCGGTCTCGGCGGAGATCAAGGAGCTGTTTGAGTACATCAGCCGGTAAGCAGCGAGCTGTCTGTGCACACCTCGCCTGGCTTTGCACTCTCCAGTCTGAAGCAGCGCCGTGCTCCTTGGAGGCTTTTTAGCCCAAACAGTCAAGTGACATGTTCTGACTGCTTCCATCTCCCCTCAACTGTCCCGCGCAGGTACACACCTCAGTTGATTGATCTGGACCACAAACTGAAACCTTTCATTCCGGACTTTATCCCAGCTGTTGGAGATATCGATGCATTTTTAAAGGTACAGATAGTCCATCCTAAAAATGTGTCCCCTGGGGTTCTCCAGTTCCTCTGTTCTAGTAGTTCCTCTAATAGTTCCTCTGATGAGCATTGGCCCCCTTAGTAGTGCTCATTGCATTGGAGTTCTTTTTTTGTTGTTTTGTTTTGTTTTTCAAGACAGGGTTTCTCTGTGTAGCCCTGGCTGTCCTGGAACTCACTCTGTAGACCAGGCTGGCCTCGAACTCAGAAATCAGCCTGCCTCTGCCTCCCAAGTGCTGGGACTAAAGTTGTGTGCCACCACTGCCCGGCTCCTCACAGTGATCTTAACCTCTCTCAACCAGGTGCCGCGTCCTGACGGAAAGCCTGACCACCTTGGCCTCTTGGTGTTAGATGAACCATCCACAAAGCAGTCGGACCCTACTGTGCTTTCTCTGTGGTTAACAGAGAATTCCAAGCAGCATAACATTACGGTGAGCTGCTGGTCTAAAGCAGGGCCCAGGTCAGAGGCTACACTGCAGTTTGTATTCAGTGGATCACTGCCTGTTAAAGGTAGTGCGGCTTCAGACCCGTCAAGGGTTTTAGTGATGGAGTCTACATACTGTGAGAGTCGCAGACACACCTTTTTTTTTTTTTTTTTTTTTTTTTTAAGTTTATGTATATAGGTGTTTTGCTTGCATGTATGTCTGTGCGTCACATGGACGGTCCATGGGAGCCAAAAGTGAGCTGCCATACTGGCAGTAGGAATCGAACCTGGGTTCTCTGTAAGAGCAGCCAGTGCTCTTAACCTCTCAGCCATCTCTCCAGGCCCTAGTCACCGTTTTAAATTAGACAATTCACTGGCTTTCAGTACATTCATGGAGTTGTAGGCTTCCCTTTACTCTACAGTTAGTATGGTAGTCAGGGTCAAAGCCATACTTTTCCATGCTAGCTGAATGCCCTAGCACCAAGCTGAGCTCCAGCCCCTCATCACTAATTACAAAGTTTCATCACTCCGGAAAGAAGCCCTGTAGCCGGCGTCCTCTCCTCTTACACTGCAGCAACCTTCATTCCTCCTCGTGACTAAGTAATACTCTATCTGTGTACAAACCAGAGTACATTTGGCCCCATCGGCTGTTCCCACTTTTGTTAATGATGTCACTAGCATGCCGAAGTGTAAGTCAGTGTGGCATCTATGTGATTTCTCTTGGATGTATGGGGAGGGGAGGACCCATTGCCATTTAGTTACTCTGGTCAGCATTTTGAAGAACCCAGAATGCTTTTTGAATTGGTAGCAGTGCTACCAGCAGTGAAGGAGAATATAAACTTCTCCAAGTACCTACTTAAACTTGTGATTGGCCTTTTAAATTCTGGTCATCTAGAGCAGATCTGGCATTTCACTGTGGTCAGCCCTCCCTGCTATCAAGCGTCCTTCTCACGGCCACACCAGGTTTTTTGTTTTCTTTATTTTTGAGACAAGATCTCAGGTAGCCTAGGCTAGCCTTAATCTTGATCTTCCTGCCTCTACTCCCAAGTACTGGGATTGTAGGTGACCAGTGTACGTCACTATGCCCAATTAACAACTCTCTTCCTTCCTCCCTCCCTCCCTCTCTCCTCTCCTTCTCTCAGTTCCTTCCTTTCTTTTTTTTCTTTTTCTTTTCTTTTTTTCTGGCTGTTTGAGATAAGGTCTGTCTCTATAGTCCTGGCTTGCCTGGAACTCACTATATACCAGGATGACCTGAAACTCACTGAAATCTACCTACTCTGCCTTCTAAGTGCTAGGAAAGCCCAGCTATTTTCCAACTGATTACTTTAAATTACTGTCCTAGTAGCCTTTCTGTTGCTGTGATAAACATCATGACCAAAAACAACTTTGGGAGGAAAGAGTTTATCGGGCTTACACATGCCATGTCACAGTTCATTCGGTGAGAGAAGTCAAGGCAGGAACCGTAAGGTGGGAACCAAAGCAGAGCCATGGAAGAGTGCTGCTTGCTGGCTGTTCTTCCTGTCGTGCTCGGCCTGCTTTCTTACACACCCAAGACCACCTGCTTAGGGGTAGCATAGCCCACAGTGTGCTATGGGCTTAAATCATCACCCAAGATAATACCCCACAAGCTTGCCCACAGGGCAGATTAATGGAGGCAGTTCCTCAGCTGCAGCCCCCTCCTCCTAGATGATGTCAGCCTGTGTTGACATGAAACAATAACACACACACACACACACACACAACCAACAGTTATTATGGGTTGGTTTGGGTTTCAATATAAGGTTTCTAATCATTGTTCTCCATATTTTTCTAGCAACATATGAAAGTCAAGAGCCTGGAGGATGCAGAAAAGAACCCCAAAGCCATTGACACCTGGATCGAGAGCATCTCTGAGTTACACCGCTCCAAGCCCCCTGCGACTGTGCACTACACCAGGTGACAATAACTACAGGTCACTATGTAGTCTTGGCTGACCTCCTGCTTCTCTGCCTCCTGCATGACAATACCTGGCAGAGACATGACTTCACCACTGTAGTTTATAGTAAGTGTCACCATTTGTGACCCTTTGCTCCTGAGGAAACCTGAGGGTAAACTGAATCAACCTGAGGTCCTTAAACCAATGTACATTTACGCCATACTTCATGTAAAGTAGGAAAGTGGCCAGCTGCTGGCAGATTGCAGGTGCAAAGATGAGAGCGTTCTCTTGCTATGGTTACTGAGCTGGTTGCTCCAAGCCATGCCCTGGTAAATTTGGTTTTCCAGTCTAGGTTCTCCTGAAACCCTGGTGCACGCAGGGGAGGACCTGGCTTAGAGGTGCCTCGTGTCATTGCTCAATGATCCCGCTTCATCTTGTCTTCTCCACTTCTAGGCCCATGCCCAACATTGACACTCTGATGCAGGAGTGGTCCCCGGAGTTTGAAGAGCTCCTGGGAAAGGTGAGGGGGGAGTAGGAGTCATGTGACGTCCACCCAGGGCCGAGGGCTCCTCTCCTCCTGTTATCACTGGGACTTTTTAGTGGAACCGGAACCCGTGATAGAAATATGCATATCAGAAAGCTTGATTATTTTGCCGAGTGAACATACGTATGTAACCAGCACGTTAGATTAGTAAACAGCACTTTGCCAGCCTCCCAGAAACCTCCCCTCTCCCCTTCCACAGTGACCACTGTTCTGTTTTTGTATTTTCTCTAAAATCTAAAAAGCTCTTCCCCCTGCTCATCCCCAATAGCGAAGACTGAACCTAGGACCTCACACATGGAAGGCAAGTTCTCTGCCACTGAGCTAGTCAGAGTATCAGCCCTGTAAGCATGCTCTGTGTCCTCTTCTCTACGTGATGGGAGAGCCATCCAGCCTGTTCTATGTCATCCATTTTCATAAATGAATTATACACCATCCTTTAATTTGTGTGTAGGTGACAGTTATCTACAGTGAGCACTTGGGTAGTTTCCAGTTGTCATGGATTTCAGTAATGCTACTGGGATATTGTGTGCCTAGCAGGCATGTTTGGTAAACATGTACACGTATGTTATTGCTTTAGTTGATACTTTGCCTAGAGGTAATGTTTATGTTTGTCTAAGAAATTGATGTCTCATTTTTAATTACCAATATACTTAAATTTTATCTATCCATTCATCTATTTTTTGTCTACCCAACTGTCTGTCTTTTTGTTTGTCTAACAACCGTCTATTTCCTGGAGATCAAACCAAGGGCTTCCTGCACGTTAGGCAAGTACTTTACCAGCTGAGCTACATTCTTTGTCCTGTAGCAAGAGCAAAGTTTGAGACCATTCTTTGTTTTTTTGTTGTTGTTGTTTTGTTTTTCTTCAGAGACAGGCTCTCACTGAGTATCCTAAACTGGAACTGACTATATAGCCCTGGTTGGCCTCTAACCCCTGGCAATCCTTCTGCTTCAGCCTCCTGAGTTGCTGGGATTACAGGATGAGCCACCACACCCAAGCAAAATCAGATTTTTTCCTCCTTTTCTTCAGTACCATACAAACTAACAACTTTCATTATGGCCGTTCACATATACTCACCCGCTGACCCTTTCCCAAGGCCGCCTTCTCATTGCCTCCTTCTTTGTAGCTTATGCCCCAGTGAACTCCCTTCTGCTTTTGCATCATGGGTATTCTCTTTCCCATTCCCATAAGCCCTCATTTTCCCCTTCTCAAGGGCCTTCTTCTCGTTTCTTAGCCTCTTCCAACACTTATCCCACATAAATACATACATAAAAACATTAAAAGCTAGAGACCGCATGTGGGTGATCATATTGCTATGTCTTTCTGTTTCTGTGTGAATTTAATTTTGTCTTTATGGCTAAGTGAAATTCTGTTGCCTATAGGTGTCCATTTTCACTACCCATTCGTCTGTTGATGGTCATGTAGACTGAATCCATTTCCTTGCTATTGTAAATAGAACATCAATAGACACAGATGAGTGACTGTCCCTGTAGCAGGCGTCCTCTGCGTATGTGCCCAGGACGGGTAGAGCCGAGTGAGTCCTCTATGGACATTCTAATTCTAGGATTTTGAGACGTTTCCATACCGATTCCTAGTGTGGCAGTTAGCAGTTTACATTCTCAGCCGTGAGTAAGGTTCCTCTTTCCCTCATTCCTGCCAGTAATTGTTGTCATCTGTTTCCTTGACCCTGGCTGCTCTGACTTGTGCAAGGTAGAAGCAAAGTCATTTTTCTTTGCTTTCTGTAGTCAAGTATGGACCTAATGTCATTCTTTACAAGTGGATTTGGTCTTCAGAGCACTAGTTACTGCACTGGTTCCTTTCCCAGTGTGCTCTTCCTGTACCTTTTGGTCTACACTGTTCTGTGTGGCAGTATTGTGCTGGCTTTGTCACTGTGGCCCTGTAGTATAGTTTGAGGTAAGGTAATGTGACACCTCCGGCTATGTTCTTTTTTTTTTTTTTTTTTTTTTAACGGTTACCTTGACTACCTTGACTATCTGTGTTTTTTGTATTACCATATAAATTCTAGAAATGTCTGTCCTGGTTATGTGAAGAATGTCATTGGAATTTTGATGGGGACTGCCTTGCATCTCTATACTGTATCCAGCAGAGTGGCTGGTTTCACAGTATTGATTGTAGTTGTGAAGGAAGTGCAGACATGCCGTGGTGTACGTGTGGAGGTCAAAGGAAACTGTGGACTTGGTCTCTCCTTCCATCTCTGGGGATTGAACTCAGGCTATAAGGCTTGCAAGGCAGATGTTTTACCCATTGGCAGCAGTATACATTCTTAATGGCTGAGCCATCTTTCCAGTCCGTTTGTTTGTTTGTTTGTGACAGTCTCTCAGTGTAGCCCCAGATGGTCTGAAACTTACTATGTAGACCAGGCTATCCTGGAACTCATAGAGATCTATCTAGGAGTTTTATCTCCCGAGTGCTGGGATCCAAGGGCCTATATTGAGCCTTTTGACTATGGGCCATCCTATGTTCCCACCAGGTGAGTCTGCCCACTGTCGAGATCGACTGCAGCCTGGCTGAGTACATCGACATGATCTGTGGTAAGCTCCTCCCCCATCCTCCCTAGCCCTGCCTCTGACTGCTGTGTTCTAGGCCTTTGGAAGGGAAGGGCTTCCTGATCCCTACACAATGTGTCTTGGTTTACAGTCTTCACTGGAAGCCAGCTATGCTGTTTACACCCTCTAGGGTGGCTTTGGGGCTGAGTATCAAACCCTAAAATAACAAGTCCTACTTGGAAGGGGACTGGCATCCTTAACAGAAGACCCCCAGAGCCAGAGCGTGTTTGTTTGTGTCGCTGTACTCGATTGTCTGTTGCAGCCATCCTGGACATCCCTTTCTACAAGAGCCGGATTCAGTCCCTCCACCTGCTCTTTTCTCTCTACTCAGAGTTCAAGAACTCCGAGGTGAGACCAACAGCGTGGTGACCGAAGCTGTCCAGGGCCCTGCTAGGCTTGTTCTTGGCTGGCACTCATACCCTTCCCATGATTAAGTGAACAGCAGAGGGGGCTGGAGCAGGGGTGGGGGTGGATTGGAGAGAGAAGATGGGCTTCAGGTGGAGCTCAGGGAGGACACACACACACAAGCAAGCAGCTTCATGAATGGAAGCAGGAAGGAACTAGACCAGCACATTGCTGTCTCTTTCAAAAGGAAAACTAATGTATGAGTTTGGAAGCAGACCTAAGAGAAAAATTAAATGATTGTTTTGTTTTGAGACATGTCTCACTGTGGCCCAGGTTAACCTGGAACTCATGGTGTTGCCCACGCTAGCTTTAGATTCACAGTGATCCTTCTGCTTCAGTCACCCAACTGCCAGGGTGACAGGCCTGTGCCACCACGCCCAGTTTAGCTTAAAGGGCTTTTAAAGTGGTCGTCCTTGTTAAAATGCAGCAGCTAGCATATTGCAAACTTGTCTTCTCCTTTCTTGCAGCATTTTATAGCTCTTGCTGAAGGCAAGAAAGCATTCACCCCTCCACCCAACTCTGCCTCCCAGGCTGGGGATGTGGAGACGCTGACCTTCATCTGAGCCTCCTCCTGGGGCTGTGCTTCAAAGTCAGATGAAGACGGTCTCTGTTGGCAGCTTAACATCTCCCTGCTCCACGGCTGGGCTCTGACAACATGAGACCTGCTGCCTTGTCCTTGAGAGCAGGGCACACCTAGGTTCCACCTGGCTCCCATTGCCTTTCCCGAGGAAGGATGTATCTACAAGGCTGTGGGCCTCTGAGTTGGAAGAACTGGAACTCAGAGAGCCCCAGGACACAGGTTGGGGGAGGAGCTTCTGAAGACACACAGACTGTTCTGTCAGGTTGTGATGGAATACATACTGGTTTTCAGCCATGGCTCCTGGCTCAGTACTCTCCCATTGCCCAGATGATTCTAGAGTGAGTAGGATCGGGTTGGGGGCCTCACATCAGGTCTGCCTCTGCCTCTGAGAATCATGTCCTTCTATCTCTGCCTTTCTGCCCTCCTATCACCTCCCTTTCTCCCCAAGCAGCCCACAACCCTGAATCTCTTCCTTGAGGCAGTCATGGACATCTGCTCTTACAGTCTTACATTCTTTCATTTTACTTTTGTTGATGCTGTGAGACAGTGTCTCATGTAGCCCAGCTTGGCTTTGAACTGTGTGCGGGCTGGTCCTGAAGAACTAGTCTTCCTTCCTCCACCTCCACCTTCCAGTCACTAGGCTTACAGGCATCTTCAGCCAAACCCAGCTTATTCTTAAATCCTTTGACCTGCTTGGATAGTAGACCAAGACCCTCATTTTAGATGGGGGCTTGCCCCTTTTTAGCAAGGAAGCAATACTGTGTAATTTCCAGACCTCACTGGGCTTCCCACCCAGTCCACAGCACTAGCTCAGTCACATGTCATCACAGTGGTCCAGGTTTCAGCTGTTTTATTTGTGTGACGTCTCCATGGAAACTTAAAAGGTCAGGGCTCAGAGAGTTTCCAGACAGATGCAGGGAGAGTTCCCAAAAAGTGGCATGCATCTTTGTGAATTTTAAAATAATCTTATTAATTTATTTTAGACTGGTTTTCTGTACCGCTCAAGAGTGGTCTACAGTTCACTATGAAGCGCAGGCTAGCTCAAACTCATTATCCTCTTTCTTCTGCCTCCCGGGTGCTAGGATTACAGGCCTGAGCCACCATGCCCACTGTTCACCTCTTCACCTGCATCCTTTGAACATTTTTTATGAGAAATTGAGAAAGAGTTGTGCAAGATGTTGAAATCCAAGGAGCAGGTTGTGAGAACTCCTAGCTTACTAGTGGTTGTTAAGAAGCACAGGCCAGAGCATGTGGCTCCAGGGAGCATAGCTGTGGCAGGGTTCGGAGGCCCCGCTTAAGTGGGGTAGAAGTAGAGGACAGATTCAGGAAATATTTTGGTCCCTAGTCAGGAAACCTGAAACCATTCTAGATGTTTTGTTGGTTTTTTGTTGCTGTCTTCAGACACACCAGAAGAGGGCTCTGGATCCCATTACAGATGCTTGTGAGCCACCATGTAGTTGCTGGGAATTGAATTCAGGACCTCTAAAAGCAGTCAGTGCCCTTAACCACTGAGCCTGAGCCATCTCTCCAGCCCCATTCTATATGTTTTTAACAAAGGACATTTAACACAACAATTTGGTTACAGAAGTATGGGGAAGGGCCTGGCAAGATGTCACAGCAGGCAAAGATGCTTATCACAAAGCCCGGCCACCACCTGAGTTCAATCCCTGGAACTCAGAACTGAAAGAGAGAACTACCGAAACTTGTCTTCTGTAAGCCACATGCACTTGCATGGACACGCACAAACACACACATGCATGCACGCATGCACACGCAAACATTGGTGCATGGTAGTTTAAAGGTTAGTATCTAGGAGGTGGCTGTGGCCAGATTCTGGGGGCAAAGGAGGGTTGCAGAGCCTCACCCACCACTGCAGGGACTTTGAGCAAGGTTGTTGCCTCCTCCTCTTCCACCTCCTCACCTCCCACGACAGACACAAATGCAGGCCAGGAATTGGGATCCGGCAGCACAAGAATGAGGAATTTTCCTTGGTCTATGTGGGAGCTCTTAGCCCTGCCCTTGGAATTTTTACGGGGACCTCATTGTACAGGCTTGATTGATTCCAGGACAAATATGTAGAAATAAAACCAGACCCAGACTGTGATCTCTTGCTAAAACGCTGGGGAGGGAAACCCAGCAAGGCCTCTGTGTTTGATCCTTCAGTACCCCCTCCTCCCGGAGAGACATGCTAATAGAACCAAGGATGACGCTGAGATATTTTAGGCTTAAGCAACTGGGTGGGCAATGGAGCCGTGTATTGACAGGGAGAAAGGGGAGGCCACCATGGATCAGAGGAAGGCTCCACGGTCAGCCTCAGCAACACACACAGACTGTTCTCGCGTCTTACAAACTCAAACCAGCTGTGATTGAGTCAGGCTTGAGGCTATGTTGCCGCCTCATTCTGACACTAGGCCAGGCACTCTGCCTTCTTATCATGAGTGTTAGAATTCGCCTTATGAGGAGTGGAGGCGTGCTGTGACACCTCAGATGCTCTGTTAGGGACCAGGCTACAGCTCTTACGGTCATTAGAGACTGACCTGCTCCTCCTGGTGGATACACAGGTGCTCGCTGTGTGACTGAGAACTCATTTAATACAGAGAAGACTGGCATGGCCCATCCACAAGGATGGCGTGACGTGGAAATTTGTGAAGGGATCCATACTTTTTTTTTTTTCTGTACAGGGCATGATCCCCTTGCTACTTTGTCGATAAATCTGCTGGAAATGTCAAAAAAAAAAAAAGAAAGAAAGAAAGAAAGAGAAAAGGCTACCATTTATGCACTGGCAAAGCACTGTGCGTCACACACCAGGCCACACAGAGGAAGTGGGGTTCATTTTAAAACATCCTTGAAAAACTCAGGGCGGTAGTACATGGCTATAATCCCAGCACTTGAGAGGTGGAGGCAGGAGGATCAGAAGATCACATTGTCTCTGTCCGATACTGAATTCCAAGCTAGCCTAGACTGCATGAGTCTCAAAAAAACAAACACAAAGACATTTTGAAGAAATGAACAAACACATGCTTCTTTGGTCAAAGGAGTTTACTGTGTGTGCAACACTGTCCTAACCAGGAACATGAGAAAAATTACAAAACAAGATACGAAGAAGGGGAAAGAAAATAGATTCCATACTCTGCTGTGCGCCAGCCATTTTCGGGTTGCTTTTTAAGAAGTATTGTTAGCTCTTTGGAGCTCTGTGGGCCCCTGCTTTCTCTGTTCCCCTAAAGCTTCTGGCGCTGTTGGATTGCATATCCACTGTGACCATCCCCTGAAGAATAGGATGGGGCAGCCCGGTTTGGTCGGGAATATGGCTGCATCGGGGAGAGACATGCAGAGAGGGAAACCACGGACCCTGAGTGCTCAGAACACTCACAGTGATTGCGGAAGGCCAGGAAGGCCAAACACAGGGAACCCAAGAAGGCCCTGGGCCTTCCTCTCTCCTGGAAAATGTGCTTAAAGTACAGACATTTTACAAAACGATGCATAGCAACATGCTGTCCTGGGAGCCAGCCCACCTGTCACCTCTTCTTGCTCATCTTGTGCTACTACCAAAGGCTGGCAGCTGCGGGCCCCAGCCAATGGAGGTCTAATGCCCTGGGAAGAAGGTCTAGGGTGTGACCTATGATGCCCAAGAGGAGGTGGGGACAAAGGGGCAGAAAGATATGCAGCAAAAGGGACTAATTTGTGCTTGGCCAGGTCCCTGGGTAAGGGGCTGGTTCCTGAGCAAAGGGCAGCTTGATTCTATAACAGATAGCAGGGGCTAAGTTTTCCCTGAGAGGGGCAAAGCTGCATAGCAAAGGAAAGACATCTGAGTTGTGCAGGGACCCTCCTGTCCCCACATAGGCATCTCTCTGCCTACTTGCAGAGCATACTAGCGTGGGACATCTAATAAATAGGCCCATCTCTTAGATGTTGGGTGACACCAGAGTTCTGTCTGCCTGGACCAGGTTATCACATGCAGGGCCCCAAACTGAGTGAGGGCAAGGGGCTTAGTTCTGACCGGTGGTCTTGCCAAGGGTACCCATGCCTTGCAGGTTAAAGTGCAATGAAAATACACATGCATGACCCACAGGGTATCCTTGCCAGGCGGGCCAGATGGCAGTGACATGGTTTCTTCATAGTCACAACAGGGCGAGGCACAGGGAAGCTGGAAGGCGCTCTGGAGTGGGCACTCCGGGGAGCCCACAGGCCACCTGGGCCTCATGCCTCAGCCTCAAGCTCAGAGCCAAATCTCATCACTGCTTACGCTGGACACACGGTAGATGTAGCCCAGCATTGGGAGACGGATGAAACCTGTGGGTCAGAGATGCCAGGGGATTAGGAACCTTGGTTCTCTGGAGCTTGGGGATGCCCTGTCTGCTCTCAGCACTCAGGGGCCTTGGGTATAAGCACAGGGATGGGAAGAGAAGGAGAACAAAAGGTCTCTGCTCAGTACCTCGGCTGGTGAGAAGGCCACCAGGCTCGGCTTCTAGAAGCTCTGGACGGCTGCTATGCTGAGCCATTGGCCGCTCTGTTGCTTTCCCTGTGGGTAACAAAGGGGGTAGTGCCCAGGATAGGGCTTTACCTAATGGGACATGTCTCCTCCTAAGAACCAGGGTCTCTCTTTCTTAGGAATTCTGAACATTAAGCACAGGCCGAGAACCGGTCCCGGTGTACCTCTGAGATCCGGAGTGAGGTCGTTGAGCTGAAGGTTGGATGGGAGGGACATGTTCTCCCGTGGCAGGCGCACGTTATTCAGTTTCAGGTTATTGGAGTCACTACAGGACAGACAAAAGCTAAGATAGACCCTGGTACCAGCAGAAATGGTCTGCTTTGTGGCTCAATCCAGACCCTAGAAATCCCAGCTTGCCAACTGTCCTTAACTTTTGAATCCAGTCCTTTACTTTTGTATGTTTGATTAGCCCATCTGCCCAGCCCCAGGAAGCATTACCTAGATATCAGAGAAGGACGCCGGGAGGGGCCTGAGGACAAAGAAATCATGTCACAGAGTCAGTGTGACCTCCCATCTGAGCTCTGCCCCCTACCCTTTCAGACTCAAGACTCCTGAGCCAAGAGTCTATCAAATGCCCAGTCCTGGCTCTGGGACCACAGATCCCTTTCCAGCACCCGTCCCTGCCTCCTACAGGGCATGCAGGCTCGCCCACAGCCAATCCCTGCCAGTGCTCTGCCCACCTCTGCATGCTACCTTTGCCGCTCACCCTCCAGCTTCACCGTCACTCTTCCCTGCCCCTGGCCCCCACTGCCCCTGGCCCTACCTTTTGTTTTCTTCTCTTTCCTGCAGACCAGGCAGGCCACCAGGGTACTGAACCCCACTAGAGTACCCAAGGCAAGTCCTCCAGCCACAACGATACCCAGCAGTGGCACTTCTATCCGTGTGGCCAGGAGTCCTGCAGATTGTTAGTGTCCACGTGAGCAGTACCCCCCACCCTGACATGCCACAGGTCTAACTACTCTGTCCTTGCCCAAAGTGGCTGGGAGATAGCTCATTCACGGGATCTATCCTCAGGGCAACGGGCCTTCTCTTTTCATTCCCGGACCCCTGTACCCACCTGAGGGTTTGCTATACTAGTTGCTCACCTGGAGCTGGAAGTGAGGCACTGGTGACACCCACGTCATTGGTGGCCACCACCGAGAGGTTATGTGGCAAGCTTCGGAGCTGCAGCTGCACGGTGTGGTTGGTCAGCCAGGGATAGTTCTGAGCATCCAGCACCAGGAAGTCAGAGGCATTGACAGTCACTGGCCCATCCTGGTCAATCCAGGTGACATTGGCAGGTGGGTTGGCCCGCACCAGGGCGAACAGGACAACCAGAAGGCCTGGACCCTGAGCTTCCTGGTACTTGGCTCCGACCTGGGCAATCTCTGGTTTGACTAGAGCAGGGCAGAGCAGAGAATAATCTGCTTTCATTACAGCCCCCTACTCTAGCTGTTTCTTACCAAATACAGACGGAAGCAAGGGCCTGGGCCTCTCCTCAGAAAGAACATTAAGGAGCAGGCAGCAGGCAGCAGGCAGCAGGCAGCAGGGTCTGCAGGTACAGCATCAATTCACAGTGATTAAGAGTACACAGCCGCCGGGCAGTGGTGGCACACATCTTTAATCCCAGCACTTGGGAGGCAGAGGCAGGCGGATTTCTGAGTTTGAGGCCAGCCTGGTCTACAGAGTGAGATCCAGGACAGCCAAGGCTACACAGAGAAACCCTGTCTTGAAAAAAAAAAAAAAAGAGTACACAGCCATGGACTAGTGAGATGGCTCAGCAGTTAAGAACACTGGCTACTTCTGAGTTCAATTCCTGAGTCTTGACTGATCCTGAGTTCATTTCCCAGCAAACACATGGTGGCTCATGACCCTCTATAAAGAGATCTGATGCCCTCTTCTGGCATGCAGATGTACATGCAGACAGAGCATTCCTACATTTAAAAAAATTAATAAATAATAAATATAAAATTTTTTTAAAAAAGGTTTTGCTAGGCAGTGGTGGCACACATCTTTAATCCCAGTACTCAGGAGGCACAGGCAGGAGGATCTCTGTGAATTCAAGGTCTACAAAGTTTCCAGGTCCACAATAGTTCCAGGACAGTCAGGACTGTTACATAGAGAAACCCTGTCTTGAAAAACCAGAAAAAGAAAAAGAAAAAAAGAATAGAAAGTCACTGGGGATGTGGCTCAGTGGAAGCAGAGGCAGGAGGATTTCCAGTTTGGGGCTGCTCTTGGATACATAGTAAGACTGTCTTAAATTTAAAAACCTGGGCTGGGGATATAGCTCAGTGGGTAGAGTGCTTGCCTATCATGCACAAGGTCCTGGGTTCGGTCCTCATACCACATAACCCTATGATCTCTGCACTGGGGAGGTAGAAGTAAGAAGATCAGAAGTTCAAAGTCACCCTTGAAAAAAGTCTCAAAGTACAAGAATAAGAAGAGAGTCAGGGGGCTGGAGAGATGGCTCAGTGGTTAAGAGCACTGACTGCTCTTCCAGAGGTCCTGAGTTCAAATCCCAGCAACCACATGGTGGCTCACAACCATCTGTAATGAGATCTGATGCCCTCTTCTGGTGTGTCTGAAGACAGCTACAGTGTATTCATATATAATAAATAAATAAATTTAAAAAAAAAAAAAAAAGAAGAGAGTCAGATGAAGGGTCTAGATTCGCATCCTGGACCTACTTCTTAATTGTGTAGATGTTGGGCAGAGTGCTTAGCCTGTTTGTGCCTCAATTTCTCATTTGTAAAGTTGGGATGAAAATAGAAATTGTGTCGTATAGTATTTATGAACGTCCAGTTAAAGCTCATATGTGTTGCACATATGAGTAATCTCAGCACTCGGGAGGCCGAGGCAGGAGATTCACAAGTTTGAGGCCAGTCTAAGCGATGTAGCAAGACTGTCACAAAACTCAAAAAAATGTTCTGCTTGGGGTCCAAGAATGTCTCTCCCTGCCCACCTCAGGGATACTTACATTGCACATTGAGGATGACAGAGGCATTGGCTGGCCGGCCACTCCCTGGGTCCTGCAGGGAGCAGTTAAGCTCATGTTGGGAGCGCTGGGCAGTGACAGTGAAAGTGCTGGTACCTCCAGAGAAGGCGTCCCCGCCCACACTCAGGAGTCGTGAGGTGGTGGCCTCCTGTAGCTGTCCATCCAGGTACCAGGCTAATCGGGGAGTGGCAGAACCCCCTGCAACCCGACAGGTGAAGGCATGGTGCTCATTCTCCTTAAGTGCTCTCTCAGCCCAGGTCTGACCATCAATTTGCGGCGCCAGCTCCCCTTGACCTGGAACACAGCAGGCAGCCTCTGGGAGGGGCTTGAAGAGACCAGGGTGAGGTGCATTTACAGAGAGGCAGCAGGCCAAGAGACAAGGCAGTTGGTTTCTCTCATCGGGACCTGGATAGACTTACGGTAGGGGAGTCGGGATATGGGAACCAGCCCTGGAGCCTGGAGTGGGTATCTTGAGAGGAGATGCAAGCAAGGAGGGCAAATAGGGGCTCTTGGCCCCTTAAATGTTTGGTCAAAGGATGAACAGGGATGTACCTGAACTTAAGAGGGCAGGCAGGAGCAGCAGTGTGTGCCGGAGGGTAGCTTGGCTTAGAGGCAATTCCATGGTGATCAGGGACCGGCCTCCAGGCTGCTGAGAGAAGGGTACCAGCCATGTAGACCTAGCAATTCCTCCAGTAATTTACCATGCACTGATGCAGACTGGCCCACGGTAGCCAAGACATGGGCACAAACAGGCTCAATCAGCAAGACCCAAAGGAAGAGACCTATGGGCACACTTCGACACTCTACTGTCACCAGCACTGACAGTAGGTGACCACAGACAGACAGACAGACACGCGCGTGCGCCCTTCCCCCCCAAGACTCGTCCTTCTCTTGACCCGGTTCACTCCTTGCTGGCCTTGGCTCTCCTTCCCACATCTCGCCGTGCACCCCTTTTCCAATCTCGGCCGCTCAAGGTGGCCTCGGGCCTAGCAAGAGAGCGTCGCGGATTCGGGGGGATCGCTGGAGCATCCCGCTTTCGGGGCGGCTCACCTGGCTCCCTCCCGGAGCAGAGCCCCAGCAATCGCTCAAGGCGGCTGAGCACCGCAGTCCGCTGCAAGGGCGGGGCCCGCGCCAGGCAGGACCAATCGCTGCCCGAGCGAGCGCAGGTGGCCGCTCCAGCCCCGCCCTGTCCCGCCCGCGCCACCGTCCCCTCTTTGAGGCTGGTTAGGAAGCAGGCGGACACAGAGCAGACGCAGTCAGAGAGTCCCGGAAGTTTTATTGGCTCCCGGTTGGGTCAGGGTCCACCCCCCTCTCCATCATCCTGCCGGCCGAGCTCAGCGCCCGTTGCTGGGCGAGCGCAGCTGCCCCATCATGTCGGCCAGCATGCGGTTGCACAGCGCGGCGTACGGGTTGAGCAGCACCAGCTGGCGTCGTGCGAACGAGCTGCCCAGTCGCGCAGCCAGCTCGAAGTCCCTGCGGGCGTCGTCATCCCGGCCCTGAAATCGCGCCAGCAGCCCACGCTGCACGAAGCTCTGGCGGGCGGCGCGACCCTGGCCACCGCTCAACGTCACCGCGCGCTCCAAGTCCTCCAGGGCGCCTGTGGGCGGACGGGGAGAGGGCGCGGGTCAGCCGGGTGTGGGCAACCGAGCCCCAACCCACCTGCCGAGCGGCCCGTCCCCGCCATTCACAGCCGCCTTCGTGCAGCAGACTTTTGAACCATGAGGGATTATTTGCAACACGGAGTTTGAAGGGCTGCTAGAACTGGCTTGGGGGCCCGCCCAAGGGCAGAGTTGAGATCAAAGTCCAAGGCTCTCCTCTGTTATGTTCTCACACTGATGCACCCAAACGTGAAGGTTGTCTAGAGGATTTGGCCATTGTGTTAGTGAATCTACCAATCGCCAAATAGTCGTAGTTCACACAAATGAAGTCTCGCACCTACTGAGTGCTTGGTGACCCACCCTGAGTCTTAGAGTTTAAAAACCATACCATTAACTAACACAGCTAACTGTTTCCTGCTATAGTCAGTCTCCTCTTTTCCAGCGCAGGCTATGAAAGCCTCATTTTCCACATTTTCTCCATGATTATCTCCACGGCCTTCATCTGTATCTAATTTCACTGGAAGAAGGTCTTGGAGCCGGAGCTGGCTGCACTGTTTTATTTTTGTGATTCTCAGAGGAACTTACGTCCTTGGGTTGAGTCTCAGAAGTCATTCTGGAGCCTCAGGCAGCCAGCTCAGGGTTTCTGTTAGGTCCAGCAGCTGCTTTCTTTGGACCCTGCCTCAATTCACATTCGCTAGTCTCCTCCAGAGACTGCCAGGGCCCTTGCGTTGTTCAGCCCCATCGTGGAGCTGGTTCGGACTGCAGACGGAGCAGCGCTGGGACCAACTCAGTTTCCCTCTTCACGGCTAGTCTGTGGGAATCCAAGCCTTTACGAGTGGAGCTACCTCTGCATCTCCGGGCTTTCCATCTGTAGGTTGTCACCAACAACCGATGGCAGACAAGCCTCCCAAAGGAGTTCTTGGGCTACCTCCTACTGTCATGAGGATGGAGTCCAAATTCTCTAGTTTAGGACCTAGGAACACTCCACCAACTAGTCATATCTCTGACCCATTTTGGTACCAGGGCTCTGCGTACACTTTCACACCCACTTGGCCCCCAGCTCCTAGCACTGTTCGCTCTTTCCTCTGTTCCCCATTCAGGCCACAGAAACTGAATATCAGGTTTGAACCAGTTACCTTCCCAGCCCAGGTCAAATCCCTGAGTGACAACCACCTTCTCATCTGACACTTCGTTTGTCACCCCCGGATCTCTGTCCATCTCTGCAAGGCCATCTTTCCACGAGCCTGCTCCGCCCAGCCTGGAGATCGAAGCTTCCCATCCCAGGCATATGCATTCTTGCTAGGCCCCTAGAGACTGTATTGACTCATTGCTCATCTTTCGGAACGTGCCCTTCAGGAACAGGTCCCCGTGTCGCTTCCTCTCAAATCTGCCTGCTGTCATCTAATTAGGAGCTCTCTGGAGAGCAGTATCCTGGGATTTAGAGCCCCACTACCTGGGTTCATATCCGAGCTTAGCCACTTCTTGACTTGATAATGAGGAAGCTACTCAATGTCTGTATGCTTCCTCTCTTCATCTCCACAACGGAATGACAATACACACCCTGGGGGGGGGAGGGTCATGAAGATTGTTACTACAGCCTAGTTGAGCGCCTACTTCACAGTAACTGTTACATAAATGTTTTATCCTCATACGTTCCACATCAAGCCTACTGCTGCCTAGAAGGCTCTTATTAAATGTTCCCTTAAATCCATGAGCAGAATGCAGCCTTTTGACTCTCACACAGTCTCATGACGCTAGCAGAACCCATACCGTCCTGGATTTTATAGGTAAGAACAGATGTCAGGGAGTTTAGTATCTCCTGCTCTTCACCCATAACCAACTCATCTCTGCCCTTCATGGGAGGGGTCCTTTCAGTGGAGGATCTCCGGTGTCTCTCCTCACCTGCTACATCTCCCTGAAGCCGCCGGGCTTGGGCCCGGTTGTTGTAGGCAGAGGCTCTCTCAGGTAGCAGGCTAATGGCTTCGCCAAACCTCTCCAGGGCTGTGTGGAGGTCCCCAGCTTCTGCTGCCCTCACTCCCTGCAACTCCAGGGCCTTGGACTGCTCCAGGTGTGCTTGAGGGAAAACTCCATCTGCACCAGGGAAGAAACAAGGCAGCACACATGTACAGTAGGGAAGAAAATGGAAAGCCACCTTGGTCTTTGGCATTATGATACCGGAACGAGCTGACAGAGTCAGGGAGAGTAGCTGAGGTTAGTAAAACTGGGAACTAACATGACTAAGAGACTTGAGAAAAGAGGCCCTGGGTGATTCTCCTTGGCTAAGAGAAGCTCACCAACAAGTCATTGGTGACTTGCTCTAGACCACAGTCCCAGGGTGTGGAGCTTAGATCTGAACCTTTTTCTACAGCCTTTGGCTTCTCCTCATTTTGCTTTACACACTCTCTGACACATAGGCCACCATACCCAGCCCAGGTCATGAACGTTACTCCAGATCTGTGTTTCAGTTTTTCACTCTTCAGTAAGGCTCGGGTTTCGCTTCTGCAGAAGCAAAGCCCCAAACATCTCCATCATCAGGCAACGGACCCCCTAGAAAAGCTAGCTCAGTGTCTAGATTATAATCATGTGTAACGGGCTGGAGAGATGGCTCAGTGGTTAAGAGCACTGACTGCACTTCCAGAGGTCCTGAGTTCAAATCCCAGCAACCACATGGTGGTTCACAACCATCTGTAATGAGATCTGATGCCCTCTTCTGGTGTGTCTGAAAACATCTACAGTGTATTCATATATAATAAATAAATAAATCTTTATAATCATGTGTAACAAATGAAGCTCTGCCTGCTATGTCAGGATGGGCCAACTGAGCCACCGTCCCGTCCTGTTTGTCTTCCATCCCTGCTGTGGAGAGGGTAGGTGTGACATTCTCAACGTCAAATATTTCAGTGTTTGACTTAAGCCAGCATAGATAAGCTTGGATCATGGAAGAATGTAGTGGCAGGCTTAGAGGTATGGGACTGAATGACAGAGAAACTCTGGCTTTCTCATGGCAGATGTACTTCTGCCAACATCTAACCCACACATTGAAATTCAAAGGACCTCTCAAACTGGTCTCTGAAATAACCTGCAAGGGTAGAACGAGGGGTCCAGCCACACCACGTCCTGTAGGAAATCTTGGGGGCCTGCCAGGCAGCCTACAGAGGGATAGATGCCAAGGGCTCACCTTCATCTCCCTCCTCTGCTTCTTCCAGGTCCAACCCAACAACATCTCCAAAGGGGGTATTAGGGTTGAAGATGGCCTGCAACACTGCCTGGTCATTTGGAGTCCCCATGATGCTCTGTTCCAAAGTCCCAACCGGTAACTCGGGGGTGGAGGGAGGAAGATGATGGGGCGGGGGGCAGGGTAGAGCCTCCAGCTGGCAGACGCTGTGAACAGAGGTTCTGGGAGGTTCTGTTCCGGGACAGAATGGTGGCTTCCAATCCTTGGTTCAGCCTCAGTGGCTAGGGTTACTGACCTGGCCTGGTGGTTTTTCAGTATTTCCCAACTGAACCTCCACCCCCCAACACAGAATAAACAAATCCTGGTTCGGTTTAAGGTGGAGTGGAGACGGAAGGTGGCTATATGCTTTCATTTTAATATAGTCTTTTTAAAAACCACTACTTAGCCTCCTATTAAACAAGATAGGCAGACAGTAACACAACCCTTCTCTCCAGAACCTCTGGGGTCCTGGACACACATCACTGCTCACTGAGGGAGGATACTCCAGACAAGGGAATCAGCTGAGTGATTCCATCTTAAAGAAGGGAGGTTGGAAGGCATCAGGTAACCCATTTACAAGGCCCTCCCCTCCGCACCCCACTCCCAAGGCCAAAAGGAAGCTCAACAGAGTGCAGCAATAAACTTGACATGTTTATTAATTAAACTATCACTTAAATAAAAAAAAGTGCATAGAAAATAAACATGTTTAAAAACTCCTTTTTTTTTGTTTTTACAACTATGTACACTTTTTACTTTTACATTCAGTCTTTCGTAGAGAGCTTTCAGCATTATTATTTTTTGAACTATTAAAGTATTTTCCTTCATCCCTGTCTCAGGGAGTTAACACTGATGGACTTTAGACACATTTTTCTCCCCCCCCCCCCATTTTGTCTCTAACCAGAAGCTCGGAAGAACACAAGGAAAAAAAGGGAAGCAAACAAAACAAACAAAAAACCCCCCAAAATCCATTGTACATGACACAGCTGCAGAGAAATGTCTTATTCTAGAAATGAACCTCAACTGTTCAGCTCGGGAAAGAATTATTCAACTACCGGTATCTGCTAAGGAGACTGTTAAAGTTCAAGAAAAGAAACACCACAAGTCTATTTTTTTTTTTCTTGGTTGAAAGACAGAACTAGTGTACCTCGGAACAAGATACCAGAAAGCACAGAACACAATTTTCCCCTAAATGCAGGTGGTAACCCCAACATTCATAACCGAAAGTAGAGGGACGAGGAGTACAGGTACCGACTGGCAACATTCACAGGCAGGAAGAACCCGGGTGACGGCGGCTCTGCTC